TGTCTTGTTTCATTTTGTAATCCCAGTCCATGTACAGTCCTGTCCTGCCCCTGTTTTGTTAATGTTCCCTTATGTATTGTGTACATGTTCTGGGTTTAGCTTCCTATCCTTCTCCAGTTCTGGGTTCTATTAGTTCTGTCTTGTTGTCTTGTTTGGTGTCTATCCTTGCCTTATCTTGTTTCTAGTACTGGATACATCTCAGCATATGTCTGCTCTGGCTTCCACTAAGCTGCTACAGGGTCTTGTTTTGTGGCCGCACAAACACTGGTGCTCATCACCAGGGGGCGTGCGGTTACCCTGCACAAGGATGTACGTGTCCACCACCACGCTGAAGACTCCCATCTTCTCATCAGGCACTAAGGGGTCACGGTTTCCGTACCGCCACCCGTGACAACGATTGCTCCATTGATTTGCTCCCTGGTAGTATACCTCCTAAGGGTGGTGTATATACCTTATTCCCTCAAGAAAGCAAAATCATGGAGGAATACATAAACAAGTCCTTGTCTAAAGGTCACATACATAGATCTTCTTCTCCAGCCAGTGCTGGTTTCTTCTTTGCATCTAAAAAAGAAGGAGATCTACGTCCCTGTATTGACTATATGGCATTAAATAAGATCACTGTGAAAAATGCCTATCCTATACCGCTCATTTCCAAATTATTTGCCAGACTCCATGGTGCCAGATTTTTCACCAAACTTGACCTTAGGAGTGCGTATAATTTGGTGAGGATAAAGGAGGGACATGAGTGGAAAACGACTTTCAATACTGGAAATGGGCATTACGAGTATTTAGTCATGCCTTTTGTAATGCCCCAGCCGTATTTCAGGATCTTATAAACTATGTACTTGGAGAATTAATTTATACCTTTGTATTGGTGTATCTTGACAATATACTCTCATATTCTTCTGATCTCTCCACTCACCACAGGCATGTAAAACAAGTTTTACTAACACTGCTTAAAAATGGATTATACTGTAAACGTGAAAAGTGCCTATTTTGTCAGACAGAGATTCAGTTCCTGGGTTATGTGATTTCTGTTTCTGGTTTCCAAATGGATCCACGAAAACTTGAGTCGATTCTGCACTGGCCCCTGAAAGCCAGTGGACTAAAAGCTATTCAGCATTTTATAGGCTTTGCCAATTATTATTGTGGGTTCATAAAGGGGTTCTCTACAGTTATAGCCCCCATTACTAACCTAACTCGTAAGGGTGTAAACTGTCACATATGGTCACAAGAAGCTAAAGAAGTATTTGATTATCTCAAAACCTTGTTTGCTTCTGCTCCCATACTAGTGCACCCTGATACCTGTACACCTTTTATACTAGAGGTAGATGCATCAGAAACTGGGGTAGGTGCTGTTCTATCTCAGAGGGAAAGACAGGACACCCCTTTACACCCTTGTGGGTTTTTCGCCAGCAGAAAGAAACTATGAAATAGGCAACAGAGAACTGTTAGCCATTATCCTGGCCTTAAAAAAATGGCAACATCTTTTGGAGGGTTCTAAAGATCCACTTTTGATCATCACTGATCACAAGAATCTGGCTTACAGATTCTGACTTTCTTCACGACATATCAGGTTGAAGGTACACTCTATGAAGTTTGCACCCAGATACATAGGCACTTTTCGTGTCCATCGCAAGTTCAACCCTGTTTCTTACTCTCTTGCACTTGCTGCTAATCCTCATATTCTGAATACCTTCCATGTCTCCTTGCTTAAACCTTTGGTTTGTAATAAGTACACTACTCCTTCGGTTCCTCCTCCTCCTGTGGTTCTTGACGGTCAAGAGGAGTACTAAGTCAGTTCCGTTGTTGATTCCAGGTTGTCCCATGGTTCTCTTCAATATTTGGTTGACTGGAGGGGTTATGTTCCCGAAGAAAGGTCTTGGGTTCCTGCGACTGAGGTTCATGCTGGTCGTCTGCTCCAATCTTTCCATGCCAAGTTTCCTCTCAAACTTGGTTCAGCCCACCCGGTGGGCGGTCTTCGAGTGGGGGGTACTGTCACAGCACAGGGGGTCTGTATCAACGCGGTCGCTTCTGATCAGTGCGGCTGCGCTGATACTTCAGATAAAAGTAAGTCCCTGATCTATGCGGCCACACATGAGCAGGGCGGTCGCGCCAAAAAGGGAAAGCGTTTACCTGGATCGCGGCCGCCGCCCGATCCTTCAAGAGGACGGGTCCTAACTGATGCGACGTTCTAAGGAACGCTGGCCCCTGTGGTCCCGTTCTTACTGTTAAAGGGTGCACTGCCTACATTAAACATGACGCCAGCATGCGTGTGATGTCATGTTATCGATGCACACTCACGTTTTGCAGTCAAAAGTCATGTACTAACCAATCACAGTACTGAGAGGCATATTTAAACCCTGTAATGTCTTTTCTCAGTGCCCTGTCATGGTTTCCACTTGGTTGTTATAGAGCGCGTTCTTGGTATATTTTTCTGGTTATTGACTTTGGCTATTGTTTTTTACTTTCCTTACTTCTGGTATCCTGACCCTTGGCTAGTTATTCCTATTTGTCTCATTCTGTATCCCTGACCCTGGCTTCTTATTTGACCATTCTCTTTTATGTTAAGTCCGGCCATTCTAAGGTCCGCTATACGTTGTTTGTGTTAATATAGTTTTGCGTGTTGGGTCACACAGTAATCGTGAAACTCTGCCGATAATTTCTGCTGTGCCCTTCTGTGGGATTCATTTTATTGATGGATTGTGGGTGAATTTAATTGGCAACTGAAACACTACAGAGCTATAAGTTCTGCCCATTGTCATCTTTTGTGAACTTGACTGTTGTACATAAGGAAACTTGGCTCTCAAAAAAAATAAATTCAAACACAGGGAGCTATATAGATGCAGATTAGATGAAGTTCTTTTTTTTGTGAAAGATTTGCTTTAAATCATTTTTGTATATACATTTGATAGCATGGTGTAGCTAACATCACTGCATATCTGACTTGACAGTCTTTTTTAACGTTCTACTTCCCTCAATTTGGGTTTAAAAGGTTTTTTACGCTAAGAAATATTGTAAATTTTTCACTGCCAGAGTGACCTGCAGTATAATGCACGGATAACGAAAATTTATGGAAATTTCAGATCTGTGTAGGATAGGAGGAAACTAATCACAGGCAAATGTGGCACATAGAGGGCTCAAGTTTTTATTATTATTTGATATCAGTGTTCTTGTAAGAAGTGTTCAAGATAAGATTAAAACAAATGCATTTTAATTGGATGGTTTCTTGTATGACTTTTTGCAATGCAATCAGTATTCCCTATCATATAGATATCAGTTTGTGGCAGATCAAGGCATTTGCCATTCTTCACACTGTGTATAATTTTAGATCTGATGACATTATTAATTTAAAATGTCTAATTAAAAAAACGAAATATCAGAACTTTCAATTCCCCACTTTCCTTCTAATTTATATGCACATTTGTTTATTTTTCCCTGTTAATTAAGTTCCTCTGTGACCGAACACAAAATACATTAAAAACGAGTACAAAATACCTTGGTTAATTTAGCCTAATCTGAAATGTTTTCATTAGAAAGTCTTCATTACTGCTAAGGAAAGTTTAATAAATGAATACTTGTGGAACAGGAGTTTCATACCATTTAAAAGTGCACACAATGGACAGTTATAGATGTACTTTCTGTAACCAGAAACATTTTAGGCACAAAGTATTTTATTGAAACCATCACTGTTTCCACAGCCCAGCCTCTCAGGAGTTATCAGAACACTCCAAGCACCACAGCCATAGGTCCCAACATTGGAGTCCTGGGATTCGAGAGGCTAGAGGAAAGGTTTAAAGGTGTCGGGTTAATCACGTGATTTGCGTCATTGGCACTACCCAAAGAGGGCATTGGGCCTATCCTGAATGGAGGACACTCCACCAAAATTAATGGCAGGTCAGCTTGGTATGAATGCTTGCCAGGCCTCCTACCAATGTATGGAGCAATGCTTCAGGGCTTTCCTGCATGGTCCTAGTTCCCTGAGTGTATCATTAGATGCTTTTTGGGACAATTAGGAGGCTGTCGTAACCACTACAGTGTGCTAGCTTGTTGGCTGAGGCTTAGGCAGAACTTCCAGCTCTTTGTCAGCTGCAGTGAACGAGGTGAGCAGTACTTGACTGATCCGATCGCAGTTTAGTGGTTATGGTGGTTGCCACATTTTTTTAAAAATACTTATTTTTACCATTCTTTTTTTGTTGAAAATGTATGTCCCTTCACAAAAGTGTCCTCTCTAGTCTTACAGTTATAGCCATTTTAGGCCCACAGTGCTTATGAACAGAACATTTGCAATTGGGGTTAAAAACAAATTCTGTTGTTTCTCCCCAAGTAGCTAAATCACATTCAAGAGAGGTAGCTGTGGAGGAGATCTTTTTGAGTGAAGGAGCTCCCTTGGGGTCCTTCTCATGGTTGCTGTGGGATCTGTACCCAGGGAATGCCAAATGTGATTGAACCCTCTCCTTTATGTATCCTTTATTCTCAGAGGGTCTTGGGGGTTGTCGTGTTTTTGGAACCTATAAAGAAAAGGCTACAAAAACCAAAGTGTAAGTGTGTAATTAAACATGCTTATGTTGCCCAATATGAAACCAGTATTTTCTACTCATACAAGAGCACTTTGTACATAGTGGGCATAGTGTTGCCTCTTTCTGTGACCATAGAGTTACCCCTTGAGGGCCCACCTCCATCACATAAAAAATAATGCACGTTACTTCACTGACCCAACATTTACTATCCTGTCCCTTACATGTCCATCTTGCATGCTTTTCATTGCTGGGGCATACAATGGATTACAGCATGGTACACTGTTCTACTAATAGTCATAACAGCCTGGAGTAAAGCAGTGCACCAAGTGCTCTCATGAAGCTTGTCTTATGAATGGAAGTTTATATAAATACACAGTCTGCTTTATATACACACAGTTAAACTTCTTTTTCAGAAACCAGATTAAAACCTTTATTAAATAGTAGTGGTAACTCGGATACAGGGTTATTACAAACCCCAGAAGCTCTGATGCCGTGGCTTTGAAAAAAATATTACTGGTGGATATTAACAATTTTGAGTATTTCACAAACAACTCTGAATGTACATTTTGAATTAAAGTTCTGTCCGAGATGTGTCAGAGCATCATCTTCATAGTTTTCCAAAATTTTCTAGAGGGCTTAGTTTGGACGGTGTAGCATTGACCGTGTGTCTTGGCTTACTAATCATTCAGTCACCTGTGGAGGCAGAGAATGAGAAATCACTGCCATTGGAGGAACAGAAATTGCTGCCCTTTCCCTCTTAACCATTCAGTAATAAAGACCACATCTCCAGTCCACCTAAAGAACACCAACTGGTTAAGACTGTCTTCTGTTTGGTTTCGCTATTGCTAAAAAAGGAAACATGGTCACATGAAAGTGTGTAATATCAAATAATTGAACTATAGAGCAAAAGTATGCCTTTAAAACATGCCATGTAAGCAATTTCTATATGTGTATCATTTCTTGTGTACATTAAGAACAAATTTAAATTGGCTAATTTACATTTGTTACATTTTGTCAGCTGTGTTGGCTGCAGATGGACACCAAGTTGTCTTGGAAGAAGGACTGGATCGTGACATTGTAGAGCTTGTAGTAAATGGAGAAACCGTTTTTCAATGTAACATAAAAGATTTAGATTTTGGTAAGGATACATTTTATATCAAGAATTCATAATTAATCATCATAATAATAATCATTCATGTTAATCAAAATTAAAGTCTAAATTCTTTATCCTAAACCAAAACCTTTCCCTAATTCTAAACCAATTACTAATCCCAAATCTAAACCTAAATCGTATAATGAACCTAACATTAATCCTAACCCATACACTAATTCTGTGTCTAACCCTAATCGTAACATTAGTCCTAATCACAATCCTAACCCTATAAAAAGTGATACAAGGTTTCTGTCTGCTTATGTCAGCAGAAAATTCCCTTGCTGATTTTAGCAGAGGGATTCCCTTGCCAGTCCTGATCCTAATCCAGACCCTAATCTGAAACCTATTTCCAATCCTGAAATTAATTCTAAACTCATTTAAAATGTAAACCCATTATTAAACCGAATCTTAATCCTTAATCTTTAACCATAATTTAATCCTAATCACAAAAGGTTTTCTTTTGCTAATATCAGTATTGATATTAACAAAGGGAATTTTAAGGCAAAGCAGATTTGTATGTTGCTGTCATCTACTGGTTATTTTCAGTATGACAGCTTTCTATCTTTTACATTATAATGCCAAATTCATTGGAATCTGTGCTGGGCAATTGACAAAGAGATGAGAAACTAAACAGAAGGGTACCAGGGGGTGTGGAAGGATGGTAATTCTCCATGCATGTATATTCACCATAACATATTCAATTTTGGTAAGAAACCAGATCTAGGCTTCACCATGTGCAAGACTTGAAGTTCCTGACTTTCATTATTTTCACAGTAGCTCCACAGACCCTGCATACCAACTGGGGTGGGTGGGGCTTGGCCGCCATACTGGGCAGACGCATGGCTGGTGGGCTCCCTATGGAATTGGGCATGAAGCTCACAAACAGAGCACTTAGCACATATTAATCGCCTGTAGTGGTACTACAGTATATGTCAGCTGGCGGGCACCGATTGGTGCTTTTATGCGACCAATGCTGATGAAGCCTGACCTTCTGTGCCCATGGGCCTTGTGTAGACCTGCACTGTGTTAACTGTATGCGATGTATTGGATATTTATATATTGTTTTATTGACTGTTTTTTCTTTCAATTTTTTTTGTAGGAGGTGATGGACAGCTAGACCCTCTTTGTGAAGAAGCCAGAAAAGCTGTACTCAGAAGTTACTAATCGGCATAAACAGATTCCTTTATGTCCAACACTCAAACAATCATTTTAGAAATTCAACATTACAGTGGCTGTTGTGTTTTCAGCTATATTTTTAAAGCTATGGATTTACAAACTGTTGTAAAATATATGCAATATGTGCTAATAAATGCATAAAGAGTATATATGCATTTCTTTTCTGTGAGGTCTGTCTTATTTATCAATGTCTCACTACTTGGTAGGTGTAGTTTGCCTTGGGTAGTGGAGCTTTTTATTGGCAAGTCAAATGTATTATTCTTTGGTAGATGCAAATATAACCCTGTTTGTAATAGAAGGTTGTAATTTTAGCCACATTTTCCAATTATATTTTGTTATTTAGTAAGCAATGTTGTCAGAAAAGTTTGATGTCACTGCTTATTTATGCCCAAATATTAATTCTGTAACCTTCATCCAATAGCTGAGTTCTATATGAAACAAAAGGAATCTTAAAGGACCACTCCACACCCCAAAAGCACTTCAGCTTGCTAGAGTGCATTATGGATGAGGAGTACCCTAGTTTAACCGCAGTTTATAAAAGTGCTGATTTCTCTAACAAATCAGCCCTTTATAAATGAACTGTCAATCAAACAGCCAGAAGGGATTCCTTACTACTTCCAGGTAGTTACTGTCACGATCCAGCATACGGGGAGAAAGATCAGGCGAGGAGCGGTAGATTTGGATATTATCAGCGCACATGTGATAATGGAAGAAATAAAAAATACAATAAAGAATATCAAGAGAGGAAATGTAAATAGACTGTAGTTTAGAGGCATTCCAACTGAGAGAATTTAAGAAGGGGAGGAAACTAAAGAAGGAAACATTGATGGAGCAGTCAGAGACGTAGGAAGTGAACCAGGAAAGAGCAGCTTCACTGAGGCCAAGGGTGAGAAGGAGAAGCAGGTTGTCAACAGTGTCAAAAAAGCAGACAGAAAAGGAATAAGTAACGAATAGTAGCCCTCTTGATATGGCTGTCACTAAGTGACTAGTAACTTTGGTCAGGTCTGTCTCAAAGGAGTGTAGCACTTGAAGCGAGAACTTGGAGCTTAGATGGTCCGTAAGTTGAGTATGAACAAGTTTTTGTGTGTGTGTGTGTTTTTTTTTTTTTTTAATGTGATCACTGTGTGTTTGAAGGGTGAGGGGAAAATGCTAGAAGAAAGAGAGAGAGCATTTAGTCACAGATGGGATTGTTGCAGATTTGAGAGAGTAAATTGTGAGGGAATTTGTTCAAGATAGCATGTGGTAGGGTAGGAAGAAATGAGAAGTGCAGAGACTTTCTCTTCAGAAACAGGAGTTAAGATATTAAGTTTAGTGGAGGAGGGCAGGCAAGGGGTTGGCCATTCTAGGGGAGAAGTGAGCAAGGCAATTTCTTTTCAAACAGCTAGACACCAGAACATAGAAGTGGAACAGTGCTAGAGAGATGGAGTAGAAAAAAGGGGATGGATCTGAGGGTAGGGGATTCCCTCCAAAACCCCTAAAAGTTGCTAAAAGTAAAAAAAATCCAAAAGGATGCAGGGTATGCCAATGTGAATATATATTACAACCAAGATCGCGAATATTACAGCAATGGAATCAAATTTAAACTTTAAAAAATAATTTAGTGTACTCTAACACCATGAACTAGATCTGGAGTTGTTGACTACGTTTGCCTTAATGCTCTTACAACCAAAATAATGTCAAAGCATCAAGATCGATTGTATCCACAACATCTGTAGTGCGAAGGTTGCCTAACCCTGAATTAGATACTCCTATTCTACACTAGGTCATTAAATCCAGCAAATACTCCTTCCAATAAGATACTGCCACCTTGAAATAGATATTCCTACCCACCTATAAAATACACCAAACTAGCACTGCATACTATCAAACCGCACCAGATACACTCATTCTGCAGTTCTTTTCTCCCCTTTGGTAAGATATACTACCATCATGCTCTGTATACTCCCATCCTACATTAGATATATACTCCCAAGCAGCTATTTTTCCCCTTGGGTAACGATACTCCCAGACATCAAAAATATACTCCCACCGTCCTTGATACTTTTATCCTACTTTAGTATGTATTTCCACCAAGTAATAATATACTATCACACCTATAAAATAGTCCCACCGAACACTAGGTACTTCCATCCAGCCTTTCTATACTTCCTTTTAACCATTACATTCAAATATATACTCCCACCCAGACGTTCTATGCTCCTGTCCTGCAATCTGATTTACACTAAATTCTCCCACCCATTTAAAAACCACTCCCAACCAGGGGTTTTCAATTTTCCTCTCCATTAGGAACTCCCAATCAACAAATATATACTTCCCCCTCTCCACTTGATACATTCATCCATAAATAAGATATTCCCAACTGTCACGGGTTCGTGAGTCTATTGCCGTTATTCCTTCAATCCTCCACTAGTCCTAATTCCAGATGTGCTGAATATAGTGAAAGTATTCCCTTTGTGTAGAGTTTCTCCAATATAATGGACACAACCAGTTGTTTTGGGTAAAAGCAGCAATCTGAATTTTATTAGGCCACACTCTGCTTTTTATGCAGTGCCCCTAGCATGGGGTTTCTAATACAAAATCACAAGGGTTTCCTCCCCACAAGCCATTGTGATTGAGAGATAATTGAGCTCCAATTAAGCTAATCCAATTATCTCGCAAAATGGAGAGGTTTCAGTATAAACTAACTCTCTCATTTGCCATATGTCTTGATTCCCCCTTAGATAAGGAGTCTTTTGATATGAACTTGTGTTCCAATATCCTATCCAAAAGACATTAATACATATCCACAGATTGATACTCCTCGTTTGTATCATATTTCGAATGGGACAAGCACAATCTTCCAATCAAGCCTAAACATGATATGCGAACAAGGGGACCCCACAGAATCTGTTACAGAAATAACTGTACAGAAGGGAACAATTCTATTCGAATACACTGAAACATTAGATGAAACAAAGTATAATTAAGGGAACACGTACGAGGAGTCACATCTCCCGTGACACCAACCAACACAAATATACTCCCACCCATCTATAATATATCCCCATGATGCGCCACATACTCCTAATCTATAAGTATATATTCCCACACCCATAGGATTCTCCTACCCAGCAGTTATTTTCTCCCCTCCGGTAAGAGATAATCACCATGTACTAGATATTCGCAATTTATTATTAATGATAATAATAACCTGCACTAGATGCTCCCACTAGTATAATATACTCCCGTCTTGAATGAAATACTCCCACCCCTATAAAATACTTGCAACCAGCAGTTCTACATTTAACTATTGTATGCACCAGGAACTCCAACTATCCGAAAAATTTGCTACTTTCAATTAAATTACGTTATGTAAATATTAACTGGATTAACCAAAATGATCTGACTAATATGGATACACGTGTCTTGTCCGGTTTATTACTTGTGGAGCTGAGGTTTTACACTGAACAGTTGCACCGCTGCTTTCTCATGTCTGTCAATATTTTGCTTTGTTTCCTGCTGTGTTTTAATCCCTGAAGTCAAATGGTTCACTATGACAAGGGAAAATAGTGATTAATATTGTGGTTTCAAAATCTATAAAGAAAAGTGTTCAATCTTGTATGTTTACAACTGGTAAGGGAATTCATTTATCCATTAAGGACAAACCAGCTCAACTCTCCAGTTTAAATGCATTAAAATCACAAAAATTCACAGGATTTGCCTCTAGTACAACAACCTGACCAAATTAGGAAGTAACTAATTATTTATGAGCAATTCAATCACTCCCATTATTTTCAATGGGAAAGATGAGCCCAGCAGTTGTTTAACCCCTTAAGGACACATGACATGTGTGACATGTCATGATATCCTTTTATTTCAGAAGTTTGGTCCTTAAGGGGTTAAGGAATATGTCGTTTAAAAACCCGGCTGCATTTTTATTAATAAAGGACATGTATAGAGCTATTGGTAAGATGATAGCAGCCGGTTGACATGAGCAAACCGCAGGCCACGTTGATCGTAACTGTGACTCTAGGCGGCCATCTTACCAGTAGCTCCCTTCGCGTTTTGTTTTTGGATGTGGCTATACACGCAGCTGTTGCAATGAAGACATCTCTCAGATTAGGTGGGACTTTTTTTTTGTATGATGACGTGCACACCATGTAACCAAAGCTGCAGTGATTTTTCACTGCCTCAGTTGAAAGAAACTTGAAATTAATATTTAAAATGTAAATTAACAAAAGCATTACAAATTATAATTTTTTTTAAAAGGGGGGGGGTCTTTATTGTTCTCAATGATCTTTTGGCACTTCTTCATCTCACAAAGAATAAATCCCAGTTTATAGTCTAGAGTGTAGACTATCGCATGTGTCGTTGCATATGTGGTTGATTAATTTGCCACACTGCACAAAACATAACTATGCCTTATTAATATAGATTATTAGACAGACAGATGTAGAAAGAAGGCAAGACACTCATTTGTATTCAGGCAACATACTTTTCCAATGTTTGGGTTGTTTTTTGATTTCTATTTTAGATGTCACTAAATCACATATAATTTAAAGCGTACTAAAATATTAGCAAAAGAAAACAAACATGCAGAAATCAATATCTCGAGACTGAAAGGCTGTAAATTTCAACTCTGAGAGAATGACATTAAAACTCAGACTTTAGTAGGCGCCATGACACACAGCTGTGAATATGATCTTCTGTTCTTTGTATAAATCAAGTGGTGTAATGCTTGAAACAAAGCCTTTGTTTTATATAGCGTTTCTGAGAAGATAATCTCATCATACTACATGAACCTTTATTTCAAGCAATAAAACGATATTATTGTCTTTTTTAAGGACATTGACTCAGTTTCTCTATTCACAGTGCAAACGAAGAAAAAGAATTTGGTCACTTAAGTTTTGAAAAAAAGAGAACAAACTTAAGTTTTGCAGACATTTCTCATTGAGAGCCCAGAGCCACACGGTCAAAATGGGATAACTTATTTGTGATGTGTTAATTGTAAAGGGATTTTGTGGAACTGACGTCTATTCAGTTATGTTGATTATCCTTTACACATCCCCAAAAATGGCCTGTAAATTGAACATATGAGGGGGAAAAAACTCCCATAGCTCAATCACATTGAAGACTTTA